AGTAGCAAGGAAACAAAACAAAACTCGCGGAATGATGCCTGAAAGCCGGAGCTTTTAAGAGCCAAGACTAACGACTCTGAATCTAGAACGTGGAAGAACTGTCGGCTGCCCGAAACCTTTTTTGAACGCTAAACTCTTAACCCTAATTAGAATAAGGAACCCCCTCAAAGAGTATTGGTAATTATTCAGGCCCCCATATTACAACCTTATGGACCTGGAAACCCTCTGAAACCGAGCGATGCTGTGGCCCCAGCCCTCCACCCAAAACCCTTTTTGGCACAGGCTTGGTCGGACCAAAACCCTAAACCCCTATACCCCCAAAGCCCTAAACACCACAAACCTCCAAAAAAACTAAACCCGCCAACCCCCAAAACTTACCCTAAACCCCCCCTAAACCCTAAACCCCTAAACCCTAAACCCCAAACCCCTGAGACCCTGAAACCCCCTAAACCTAAAACCCTAAACCTAAAACCCAAACCCCAAACCCTAAACCCTAAAGAAGCCCCCCTTTAGGCCCCAGCTCCTAAACCCTAAACCGTCACTGTGGCCCCAGCTCCTAAACCCTAAACCCTAAACCCCTAAAACCCTTAAAACCCCTAAAGCCCTAAACCCCCTAAACCTAAAACCCCCCCTTTAGGCCCCAGCTCCCTGCATCTTCCAGGCAGGCACCGCCGTGCCGCGCCCTCGGCCCCGGGGACCTGAGCTTTCCACGAAGAGCAGAGCGGTTTAGGGTTTAGGGTTTAGGGTTCAGGGTTCAGGGTTTAGGGTTTAGGGTTCAGGGTTTAGGAATGAGGGTTTAGGGTTTAGGGTTTCGGGCTTCTTTTTTCCCTCTCGCATGGCAGAGAAGGGGGTCTGGGGTTTAGGGTTTAGGGGGTTTGGGGCTGTAGGGGTTTAGCGGGGTTTGGGTTTAGGGCTTTAAGGGTTTAGGCAGAGGGTTGGGCTTACCTTAACCCCAAAGAACCTACCTTTTAAGGGTTCCTTATTATAGTTTCTTTGCAAAAGTCCTTAAAACGGTAGGTTCTCTGGGGTTAAGGTAAGGTTTAATAGCAGCGGGTTTCGCGCTCCGGGTTTAAGAGCAGAGGGTTTCGGGCTTCGGGTTTAAGAGCAGAGGGTTTGGGGTTTCGGGTTTAAGAGCAGAGGGTTTCGGGTTTCGGGTTTAAGAGAGGGTTTCGGGTCTCGGGTTTAAGCGCAGAGGGTTTCGGGTTTAGGGGCTCTGGGGTTTAGGGGTTAGGGGGTTTGGGGCTTCAGGGGTTAAGGGGGTTTGGGGTTGAGGACTTTAGGGGTTTAGGGGGTTTACGCTCTCACAGCTCCGGACTAGCCAGGCGAGGATTCATAGGTGCGAGTCGGCGTGACACAGATTGCTGAAAGCCCAGGCCGTTTAGGAGGTTTGGGGTTTAGGATTTTAGGGGTTTACGGGGGTTTGGGCTGTACGGCTTTGCGCTTCAGGGTTTAGGGGCTCTGGGTTCCAAGCTTTGGGATTGGTATGTCAGGCCGCGGAAAGATAAACGTCACAGCCTGGCCACCAGTTTAGGGCTTTAACTAAAAGTGGCTTTAGGGTTCAGGGTTTTAGGGCTTTAGGGCTTTAGGGTTTTAGGGCTTTAGGATTTTAGGGTTTTAGGGTTTAGGGCCTTAGGGCTTTCGGCTCTCACACTCGGACAATCAAGGCGAGGCGAATGATGAGTCAGCAGCAAAGTGAAACTACTGCACATGCAAGCTCAGCAACAAGACGAGCCCCTAAGATAGAGAACCTCTAAGAGACACCGAGTCGCATGTGCAAGCCAAAGTCCACGTCTTCACTGTAACTAGTTCGCAGACGTCGGTCACTACGCCGAGGAGGCTACACGGGGAAATGGGCTTTAGGGTTTAGGGTTTAGGGAAGTCTCAAAGTTTGTCATCTCTGGGGCCGGGGGCTTCTGGTGATTCGGGTTTCGTAAACGATGGAGGGCCCCGAACTTCAGAAGCCCAGGCCTTCCAGAACTCGGTTTAGGGTTTCGACTCACACACTCGCGGCTGCAGGCATGGCAATAAGTGTCCGAGATAGGGTTTAGGGTTTACAAGGCTTCTAAACCCTGAAGCCCTAAACCCTTTTGCATCCAGCCTGCAAGAGCCTCTGCTAGGAACCTATGGAGGGCTTAGAGCAAACCTTCAAGTCTGCAAACCCTAAACCCCTTTCTTGAAACCAGACTTGATGACTGCCAGCANNCCTAAACCCTAAACCCTAAGCAGGCGGGAGGGGTTGGCGTCACCTCACCACAAACTTTCCCGAGACTCCCCGACCCGGTTATTTATCCGGGACCCATGGCGGAACACTGACAGACCATCGCCGAAGCCTAAACCCTAAACCCTAAAGGGTGCCGGATTCGAAGCCTTCGATGTCAAATAGCACCAAGCAATTCGGGTTTCAAACAAGCTACTCCTTTCCTTGCGAGATCCTCAGCATCGGTACGGGTTTAGGCTTTAGGGTGAGGGCCCACGACGGTTTCCCAACACCCCCCCCCCC